TGTTCCACATAAATATTTATGACATACAAGTCTATTGCTAGATATTGTTGTTTGCGTTATCTGTTGGAAAAAGCATAAAAGGGTAATTAAACTAGCTACTTGAAATATTGTCACTCACCTAGTAGGTACTACATATTATTATGTAGATAAGCGGGGAACTACAATTAACAATATCATTAAACTGTTGTCGTGGTGGCCCGGAGGTTAAGGAGCCCGCTTCTAATGCATGAGGGTGTGGGTTCGTAACCTGGCAAGTACAAATGTGACTTTTCCGAGTTGTATGTACTTTTTTCTATGATTATTTAGACATCACTGACATACGGTGAAGGTAAACATCGTGAGGAAATCTGTACTTATAATTTCTAATTATAAGTTTGAGCAAGCGTGGTGATTAATGCTCGAACCATCTCCGTATGAGAAGAGGCCTTTACTCAGCAGTGGACACTTATAGGCTGATGGTGATGATGATTAAATTGTTGTAGATACATATTACCTCTATCTTACATTAATCATAAGGTTTTTTTTTTCAGTAGGTAAAATCTTGAAATTACTTCACTTGCCCTGAGTGAGGCGACAGGAAGCGCTGGACTCTTACTGACTAAAAACCACCCCATTCCTTCTCCTGCTCCAAGCCGAGGCCGCGGAACGATATTGCGCTTGACCCTCAACCCAAGCTGGCTTAAGCTCTAAGATTAATAGATATTGTAATTGATGAGAAATTTGCAGTGAGGTGATGGCAGAATAGTACCTACCTATATATTTGTCCCCAACCCCCACTCATAACAGGGATTTCCATTTATTATGAACCTTTTCGAGCTGCAATTTATAACCTTCCTGCTAAAGCTCAGGGTTGCGGGTTTAAGTGCAATAAGTTACTGCTCGCTCGCCTGACTCGGAACAGGAGATGGAAAGAAGTTTTAGTCTGAAAAGTTCGTCACTACCTCGCTCCCGAGTGGTGAATCATTTGACCTTTAATTTTTCCTTCCTTTAAAAAATACACGCCTTGATGCAAAACTGAGCGTTTTGAGATTACCTATAGGTATTTAGCAAACTACATATCTTGTTTATAAAAGATCTATCAGATCTAACAATGGAAGGTCACGAGCTGTTTATGAATGAAAAAAAAATACTTATTTATGAGAATTCAGTAGTACTTTACGTCCGAAATGTTAAAACAATTTTGATAAATATAGGTGGAGCAATAACTTCGGCTGCAAATACTTTAGATTCTATACGATTTTTCGTAAAAATAAACTAATAAAAAGATAAATCTATACAGCTCATGTATAGATTTTGTCTCACTTATTACTGTTTTATTTTAGTATAGGAACGACGACATCGTCGCATAACTAATGTGTACAAAAATTAATAAGTAGAATAAAATAATGCGATCGATGCCGCAAATAAAACTTACCTAAGTACTTGTTTGTGTTCTATAAATTGTATACCTACATATAAACAAATTAAAATTATATTCAATTGTTTATTACTTAAGTCTCATTGCTTCAAGCCCGCTCTGGGTCGACGTTCGGCCTACCGCGTCAGACGCATAGATTGGCCGCCTCGGTCAGGCATAGCGAATTGACATACATGTTTTATACACTACAATACTTCCGGCTCTTCATTGATCACACATTTTGTTGTTATTTCCATTGGTGAATTAATACTCAGTTAGTTAAAGGGTCTATCCAACATAAAAAATACATTTTTTCGATAACACATATATGATCTCATAAACATCTTTGCATCAACCACCATTGATGGTCCTCTCTGGCTCAGGCGGTCAACCGTTGTAAATGTCTGCGTATAGGTGCTTATTATGCATATTACATTAGGTTTAATATTCTAGTAGTAAAAGAATGTTCATAATTTTCTCTAAAATGTGTAAATTTTATTCATAATAAGTAGATAAATATAAATACATAAAAAAGTTTTAAAAAATACATAAATCATACTATTATTATTATCTTTATCTAAATGTCCAATGATTCGTTTGTAATGATAAAAATAGCGCATGGAACAGTATTTTGAAGTGATTTAAACATTAAATAAAATTGTTTGTTCAATACAATATTTTTCTTCCAAATTAGAATCGTTTCACTAATAGATAAACCGTATTTAACAATTATAAAATACTAGTACAAAAAAATATAACATCTATTCGGGTGAAACGGCAGGAGCATAAATTGTGATGAAAAACAATACATCCATAACCCACGTTTAAGCAATAAGGTTTGTCGACTTTCATGCAAATGTGTGCTTTGGTTGACTTAGGTTAGAGTATGTAATAAATTAAAGTTTTTAAGTGGCCCGCATTCGCTTATTTATACCTACACAAAAAGTCGTAAGTTCGACTCATGCGCAATTTCGCTTGTGATCTCCATTAGAATAAAGTCACAAAGGAAAAGACGAAGGTCATGGTTTTTATAATAAAAAGTAATAAGCAACAGAGCACATTATTTACCGCCGTACTCCTAATGATGTAATGTTTACTTCACGCAGTGGCCATGGTGAGGAGCTGGAAAGCAGTCTCCTCTTTCTGTGAAGCAGTCATGCCCGTTAAAAGGAGGAGGAGTGCGTAAGGTAACTATCCCCTCAGGCCCCGAGACAGAGAGCAAGGTAGCTTGTCGTAGCGTAGGGTTCCGCGTGCGCCTTAAAGTGCCATTAGAAAAAAAATCTAAGTAAAGTTAATATTGATAGTACTACACTTCCAGTGTGGGAGAGCCGGCTCAACCGGAGTAATACCACGGCCTCACAGAAAACCAGCCTGAAGCAACAATTACGTTGTTTTCGCTGTGTGACATTACCGTGAGCCCAATCCCTTCCCGCCTATCCTCAATCCTTAAATCCCTAATAAACCACAAGGGGCCGGCAACGCACTTGGAGTAACTCCTTTGGTATTAAGAGTGTCCGTGGGCGGCGCTGATTGCTTACCATCATGTAATCCGTCGTCTCGTTTGTGGACCTATGACATAAAAAAGCATACGTACTTAGAGCATTTTAATGATAACTTGAAACTATTATTTTGAAACGATTTCGTTCCGAAACCAATTGCTAAAGACTGGGTTAAGTAACCATTATAATATGTGATTATGAGTACGGCGGAATACTTCTTTAACTTACAAAAGGTTATGTTGAAAAATACGCTGCTAACTTAGTAATTTATAATTATGACGGACACTAAGAAACTATTTGAGTATCTATTACCTATACAATGTCAGGGGGTGGGCACAACTATCACATAAATCCCTAAAACGGGCTTCCACAATAATTGAATTATTTAATTTCATACTAATTAATTAAAACATTAACAAATTGTACTACAACTAATATAAACAAGGAACAATAATTAACAACATGCGAGGTAGAATGAAATTAATTATTAACTGGCAACACCAGGCGACAAATGCATACACATATCATCTTCGTTTGTTTTTCTTAGATAGCACACTTATGAAAAGAGCAGAGAATCATTAATGCATTGTAGACTTAAAGTCTTATCCAATCGATAAGGTCGGATTAAAGAACTCCTGCCCTGATACATTTAGACAGCTCAGCATAAAAATTAATCTTAATTCCAGTAAGATTGAATAGGAGTTCCAATAGGTGCTTTGTATAGTTAAAAATTAACACGTATCTATTTGTGTGAACTATTCACAAATACGAAAGAAAGTAATATAGCTGTGATTGGGTACGATAGCAAGATTTGTCGCCTGGCGTTAAAAACTTATAAAATATAAGCAACTAACAATAAAACAGGTTTAATCTGGTTCTGTGTCCACATCACCAAGTATGTACATTTATGGACACAATTACAACATTTTATGCAAAATTAAAACGATTGCATAACTATCAGATCATAAATTATTTAAAAAAAAACTTAATAATTATACAAAATACCAACATCTATTAATTAAATTTACGTATACAATACAAATAACTGGATATTTTAATATCGTTCCCACGACTAACTTGACAATTTATACCTACTATGTTCACTCTATTTCAAGGTCACATCATCAGTCGTGAAATAAAACAATGACAGGTTCCAAGCTTCGGCACGAATGGGTCGGCTCAACCGGAGTGATACCACGGCCTCACAGAATACCGGCGTGAAACAACCCACAGTGTTGTGTTTCGCCGTGTGAGTGAGGTTACCGGAGGCCCCATCCCTTCCCTTCCCCTATCCATTCCCGATCCTTATATCCGCGACCTCTATCCCCAAAAGGCCGGCAACGCACTCGTAACTCCTTTGGTGTTGCGGGTGTCCATGGGCGGCGCCGATTGCTTATCATCTGCTCGTTCGCCGACTTATACCATAAAAAAAGGTTAATATGATAGTTGCTAACAAAACAAACTCAATCTTACATTTAGAAAATGTCAACAACCATGCATTTTTGTCATTTTGTATGAAATTTTTGCCTAATTGTAAGATATGAAGTCATGGAACATTTTACCTCACGACTGACAAAGTAGTTAAGTACCTACTTTTTTAAACATAGGCACTAAAGCACCTACATTTTAAATGGAATGAGAGTTAAGTGATAACTTAGGAGTACACTGTTATCAACCATAAATAAATTTGTCGAAGAGGTACATAATAACCTTTATGGTATGGGATATCTATCGCGTACAGTATAAATTCATAGGTGTTTTTTAACCTAGATCTTTATTTTTTCTTACCAACTCAATTATTAGTTAGTATGTTAAACAATTAAGGATTTTAAGTCACTGGCTTCGCATAACATCTCTGAAAAACTAAAATGTTTTAAGTAAACTCCTGACAGATATCATAAATCTAACAAGACTTAAAGCAACGTCGCGCAGCCTACTATACTATAGAGCCAGTAGGCTGCGCGACGTCGCCGCGTCCGCGCACGCTGCTCATGAGGAAGAACCCCTCTGTGGTTCGAAACTAGTAGAGCTTTTCTCAATACTTACACGTGAGTAACTCGCGATTTTTAGTTAATTTAGTATGTCTCACGATAGTTATTATAAAAAGACTTAAAGCTGCAGTGGCGCCATCTAGAATTGCAAAAATACTTTAATCTGTTCACATTGTGTTTGTCGTTGAAAATGATACAATTTATAACGTTTGTGATGGCATTTTCCTAGTTTAAGTTTATAGATTCACTTGGCACGTTTATATTTACCTACTTATAACACTAGTAGTAGGAAGATACAAAATTGACAGTATAAAAAGTTTATATGACTACCGTATTATATGAGCAGTTTATAGACACCGATCCCGTGGAATATTTCTCCTACAAGTAATACAAAATAGTTCGATACGTTTTCCATTTATGACACTGAAACAAAACAAAAACGTTTTAGTTAAATTCTTAAAAAATCTTACGTCACAAAATGAAATGGTAATCGTCGAGTGAAACGTCTATGCCTAATGTAATGTATCGATTGGTTGCATGTTGCTATGCAACATGTCGCGGGTTGGATTCCCTCACGGAACAAAACTTGTGTGATCCAAAAATTGTTGTTTCGGGTCTGGGGTTTGTGTATGCCCATTTAATGTTTGTAAACGCAACTTCGACAAGGGAGATACTAGTGAGGGCAACGTGTTTTTTAAAAAAACAGAAAATAAAAAAAGCCTCCCTCTTCTCATGCATGACTGTTTTAGTACCTACCTAGAAATCTGGCAATTAGCAATATGGGTTTACCGACTTATTTGTACATTTTAAGGTTTACACAAATTAAAATAAGAGGCCGGGGTTTTCTCACCCCAACCTCTAATTTTAAAGTACTAGGTTGAAATAGCCAATTTTTCTTGAGCAAGCATGGTCATACCTTGTCTATGTGGGAAGAGACATTTGCTTAGCAATAGGCACTTTATAGGCTGATAATAATGATAATGGATTTTAAATGTGCTTTGTGTAACTTACTTGTTATAAGGGGTACTTTCATAGACCATAGTAGAGTGTGGCTGCATTTTATTGTAACTTTTTGTGATCCATCGAAGGTATTCGAAGTGCTTACGATTCCACCAAACCGCAGAGGTTGGTTATCTGCAACACATCAAATTTAACAATGAAAAACACAAGAAGAAAACAGTTTAAAACCTTGTTATTATTATTTACAAATGTGTTTGGAAATTATTCACTTGTTGCAAAAGAAGTGTCTGCATGATATCCGCGTTTTCCATTAAATTCACTTTAGCTCCATAGGTGAGGTTGCAACAGGGTGGTTTTTTTTGTGAGGGGAAAATCATCATATGACTTCTTCCGCCCAGGGCCGGGCGGGCGGGAGTGTCAGACTCTTACTGACTAAAAATCCCCCTGTTCCTTCTCCTGCTCTGGGCCGAGGTCGCGGTGCCTCATTGCGCTTACCCCGCAACCCCGGCTGAACATCAGCCCTATAGGGCCCCGTCTGTGGTGGTCTATTGGCTCTTTGAGGCGCGCGCGGAACGCTACGCGCCGTACGCTCGGGCCTGGTTCTGGTCGGGCGACGAGCTGCCTTTACTCGCCGACCGCAGACCCGCGCTTACGGTGGCCGGAGATCATCTCTCGATCCCCAACGCCCGGAATGTCGTGCAAACTATACGATTATGGTCTGTTCCTTAGGTGGTTAACTAAATGTAAACAATCTTGGTTCAAGTTCTTTATATAAAAATCTAATACCTATATAAAATTCTAGTGTCACAGTTTTCGTTGCCATACTCCTCCAAAACATCAATTTTTCATCCCCCTAAATGTTAGGGGTCACCCCTAAATTTTTTTTCAGTTTTTAGACAAAATTATTAATTTCTATTTTTTTTTATGATACAACATACAAAAATACATACAACTCTCAAGTATCACCCTTCTACGATCACCCCGAATTTTTTAATAGCCAAATACGGGTTAGCTTATTGTATACAAAAAAGTAAGGAAAAAAAAACTAACCAAGGTTCCATTTCAGTCCAGTTGAAGTAACATACTGGCAGGTTTCTCCAATGGGCACTAAAGAGCACCAAGCTCTCTTGTGCAGTCTAGTCTCTTCCGGCACATATATAACATGGTCTCCAGGGTACAAGAGCCACGATATGGAATCATCAGACATTAGAAACACATTCGTTTCAGGATTCAGGAGGAGTCGGTCTTTGACTAGATACAAAGTTTGGATATTTGCTATTATTTGGTCTAAACGACCTGATGTTTGGCCCACTGCTATAACGTGAGAGAGCTGAAAATTAAAGGAAAAAGCTTACATAAAATTTTTTACAACAGTGACATATGTTGGAGAGATAAGCTTCGGCACAAATAGATTGGCCCATAGTGATACCACTGGCTGCTTCACAGTAAACCGGCGTAAAACAACCACAGCTTTATTTTTCGCCATGTGATTGAGGTTAAAATAAATCCTTCCTCTCACTCCCATCCCTCAATCTCGGAAGCCCTAATCCCCAAAAGAGCTGCTACATCTTACTTCTCTGGTGTTGCGGGTGTCCGTAGGCGCACTAAGTGCTTACCATCAGGTAATCAGTTTGCTAGTTTGCCGACCCATCTCATAAAAGAACCACACATTGAAGAAAAGTAAAATTACCATGTTTTAGCAAAACTGAAAAAAAATATTTGAAATCAGTCCTGTAGTTTCAGAGTTCAATGTCCCCATATAGTCCAGGGTCGATAATTTTTAAAACCAATAAAAATCATAATAGGATGAAACCCATTGGAAAAGCAGAGAAATATGATAAAAATGAAAGGAAAAATAATTTAAGGGCGATCTGAGGTTGGGAAGGGGGTGCGGGGGAGGTTTTAAGGGTAAAAAACGTTTTTTTTTCGATTTCCGGCAAAAGTAAAAGTCCTATCGAAAAAAGTCAAATGGAAAAGTTGTAGATAATAAAAAGATCTAAAACTTTTGTATTTACACTTTTTTCACATAACCTCAAAATTTATGTGAAAAATTCAAAAAACCAAGTTTTTGGTTTTTTATTTTTATCTTCTACAAAAATTTTATTCTTTTAACGTAATTTTGTGAAAACTTACCTTTTTATGTCCCAAATACGCTGTAATTTATTTGATTAAAAATATTTATTTTTTCACCTTATTTTAAATTAATATCGAAAAAACACCCTAATTTTCAATCGAAAATTCACCCGTCAAAATACCAGCTTTTGTAAAAAAAATTGGTATGGTTTATGTTCGTTGAAATCTCTACTTTCCGATGGTGAAAAAAAATATATGTTACTATGGTCTTCTCAGAAAACGCAAAAATTTAAAAAAAAACTTGAATTCGATTTTTTTTTTAATTATTATAAATAATTTCATCCTAAAAATGTGATTGCTGCAATTTCTTTTAATTAAAAAGTTGATTTATTTAATTCTAATTACATTTATGTCAAAGAAAATCTCATTATAGATAAATATAAATGTAAATCGTACTATTAAATGTAGATGCTTTATTCTCATTACGTTATTCATGAATAAAAGCTGATGTCAAAGTCTCAATTTTTTTGTATTTATTGTCGATCCTTTTTTTGCTGGATACCACTAAACGATTCAAAGCTGCTTTTTTATTGCATACACTTGCTTATCATCTGCCTTATAAGGCCTTATTGCAAATGATACAAACAGATTCATCCATACTGATAATCTGAAACGACAAAATCGAATTAATAATGTCTTCACTATTTAATCGTGAATAAACTCCCATGAAAAAAAAAATATTAATAAATCAATGTCAAAATGTATAAATAATATATTATAAATAATATATTATAAATCTATAAAAAAGTATAAAATATATATATAAAAATCGGCCAAAGGTTTGTTTTATTAGAAATATATTTACAATATATATATTTTATAGATTTTGTAATTTTTTTTTCATGGGATTAACTAAATTTGTTTGTTCAAAATTAAGGAGATAATTATTTTTTATCTTGTACTAAAATATCATATAATTTCAATCTTTAGGTTATGAAGTTAAGCATACTATTTTTTAAAGAAAATATTACGATTTACATGGTTGAGTTGATTGATACAGATAAAAATAGAGATAGTATTTACCTTCCTATGGAGATTCGAAAAGTTTTATTGTTTCTTTTAAGTAAACTTGTCAAAATTATCTTCAAGAAACTCAGCGTGCGCCTGTATCTTTATAAACGATGTTGTATACTTATTGTATTTCGAATAACTGGTTAGGCTAGCGGTTGTAACAGTAAATATATAGTATATAATAGTAGGTATGTATGTAGTAAGACCCAGACCCGCCTAGTCCCTCCCCACTTCTCCACGAAATACCTTTTGATGGGCTACAATTTTTCGTAGGTCACTCAGGTACCTATATCTACTCAGGTATATATATAATTTATCTCAAAATAGTTACAAATAAGCATCTACGAATATAATTTAAAGAAAATTAGACAACTTTCTCCAAATATTGTAGATGTCTTATTAAATATTAATTTAATTTACTTATTTGTTTTTTTATTTGCAATTTTTTTGTTATCAACGTCACATGTAATCTAACGTTTTTCGAGTAATTAAAGTCTAAATAATAATAAATAGCTCAAAATTATTAATAATAAAGAAAAATAATTTTCGAATTCAAGTTTTTTTTTATTTTTGCGTTTTCTGGGAAGATGTACTATAGTAACATTTTTTTTTCACCATCGGAAAGTAGAGATTTCAACGAACAGAAACCATACCAACTTTATGAAAAAAAACTGATATTTTGACGGGTGTATTTTCGATTGAAAATTAGGGTGTTTTTTCGATATTCATTCAAAATAAGGTGAAAAAATAAATATTTTTAATCAAATTACAGCGTATTTGGGACATAAAAAGGTAAGTTTTCACAAAATTTAGTTAAAAAAATAAAATTTTTGTAGAAGATAAAAATAAAAAACCAAAAACTTGGTTTTTTGAATTTTTCACATAAATTTTGAGGTTATGTGAAAAAAGTGTAAATACTAAAGTTTTAGATCTTTTTATTATCTACAACTTTTCGATAGGACTTTTACTTTTGCCGGAAATCGAAAAAAACCGTTTTTTACCCTTAAAACCTCCCCCGCACCCCCTTCCCAACCTCAGATCGCCCGTAAATTATTTTTCCTTTCATTTTTATCATATTTCCCTCTTTTTCTAATGGGTTTCATTCTATTATATTTTTTTTTCACTTTTCATTATTTTTGAAGGCTTCCCTGGCTAATAAGGCAAAAATTATTTTAAATTATGTATTATGAAATAAAACTATATACCTCCAATCCAGCCTGGTTCATATGTATATTCAATTCCATCAATGCCTTCGTGAAGTCCGTGTAGTTTTGGTCAGGTGTGTGGATAATCTAAAAAATAAAAATATTACAAAATCAATTTTACGATAAAAACTAAATTAAAATTAAAACAATATTATTAAAAATGGACTTTCACCTTACAACCTTTATTTTTGTATTTTTCTAATATTTCATCAGTTATAGAGTCAAAATCTCCTGAGATGAGGTCTGGATCTTTGATATTTTTCTTTAAGTCATCTTCTAGGCTGGCAATAAATTTGTCCCACTGTTTAGTGCCTCCATCTACAGTCATTCTGACAGCAGCTGGAAAATTAAATAATTATTTTCATTTCATGAACTTATTTCAATAGTCTGTAGTATGTTAGTACAGACTATTGAAATAAGTTAGTAGGTAGGGTAAAAAAAAAAATTGTTTATTACTTTTTCATAAAATAACTTTGACTGCCACACCAAACACCTAGCTAGACTAGCTCTTGGATTTATAAACGGGCCCTATGTGTCCATATTATAATTTTTTTTGAAGCTTTTATTAAAATGTGTATACAGAGCATCAATATAAAGATTACATATAAATGTCATCTTGAAATTCAATTAAATTAACCTGGCATGTTTCACTCTAATCTACAACATTATATAATTAGAAGAGTTTTTATTACATCTCACCTTTGTTCCATAGACGCTTTATAAATGCTGGATTTTGTGGAATTGGGCGATTCAAGATGAGGATCCCATACATCATGTTGTTCAAGGTCCTATTCATGATGATCTGATTGACGTCCCATTTCCAACATTTGACAGCACAGGCGGTACCGCAGCTGCTAGGCTGGATACATAATGAATTACTAAACCTTCTTACCTAGAAATAATGTTGTGATGATGAAATGAACATGACAATGATCAATGAGATTCATGACCTTGTATGAAAAATTAATGAAAAATGAGCCATGTATGAGAAATGTATGTATGAATGAGATTGAACCTATGAACAATGATGGATGTACCATTTTCATTCATATGATGAGTGTGATGAGATTAACTTAATTCATTACGGATCATTTTTGGTAATTTTTTAAAACTAGAATAATAGAAGTTTATTTCATTTTATCATCTCTACAACCCGTTTATGGTCTCTGATATATTAAAATATTTTTTATTATTTTCATAGTGTGTCAAGAATATGGGTTAGTTCTTGAACTTATTGATTGTGTTATCATTTTATCATTAAATGGGATTAATGTCATACCATATTTTGGACTATGGATTATTATTGCGATTCATGAAAGAATATAACATCTAAAATCAGGTTATACTTCTTAACTTTATTTATTGATACCGGTTGTTTCATAAGTAAATGAATAATTAAGAATTAAATATTTAATATTTTTTATATTGATATACAAACCATTTCGCCCTTAACACCGTTGGTAGTCATGGTGATGAGTTTTAACTGAGAAAATTGTTGTTATCAAACACAGCACTAAACTCAAACAAACCAATGTGTAAATTACTTTTAGTAATTTCCAATCAGACAGTGACCCATCGACACGAAATATTCGCAATCACATTGATTTTGAACGCGATTGTGATTTGATTTGATTGATTTGAAGTTTAAATGGGTTGCAAGCTCATAAATGCAATGAAAATCATTCTCGTTGTTCTCTTTTCTCTATCCTGGATTTTAAATCTACTAGAATTTGACTTTCCATGGTCCTGGTTTTAGAATAGAAATTGCAACGGTAATACATTTGATATCGTAAAAAATAATAGGAATGCAATAACTAATTGATATTGATCGTTGAAATTAAAATAGTAGTAAATCTAATTCATCAGTTTGGAACACTCTTCTGCCTCTGTCAAAGTTGATTGTTGAAACGTCAAATAGTAGAAACTACCTAACTTTTGCTGTCTGACGTCAAACTTCAGTCACACAATAAATTGTTGTGAATTTTGTTGTTTCACCTTTTTATTATCCTAAGCAATTTGCTGTTAATAATTCAAGATGAATAGAATATTCGGAAGAGGAAAACCCAAGGAACCTGGCCCAAGTATTACAGACTGTATAAGCAGCGTAAGTGTACTTGAAATCATAAACTGGTTAATAGACGATAGTTTCGATGATTCATTCTCCATGATTGTCCAAATAAATGTTTATTCCAGGTAGATAGCAGGGCCGATAATATTGAGCAGAAGGTCCAGAAATTGGAGTCGGAGCTCAGGAAATATAAGGACCAGATGAACAAAATGAGAGAGGGACCAGCCAAAAATTCGGTGAAACAAAAGGCTATGAGGGTGTTAAAGCAGAAAAAAATGTAAGAGCACTATATTTACTTATGTCACAATGTTATCATTGAAAGCAGATATTTATAGACAAGTAGCTTTTGCCAGTGGCTTCACTTGCAGGATGAGTGTAAAAAGTAGCTTATGCATTATTCTAGAGAATTATCTATGTGTATGTTAATCTTCATCAGTAGTTTTTATGTGAAAGAGACAGAAGAGTAACACACTATTGACCCATTAACTGGCTGGCAGCGGGATCCATTTCCTCCAAGCAACAACTCTTTCTGTGATTTGCAAATTGTTGTTCTGGGAAATAGAGATAGAGAGATATAAGAAAATACTAGCATAGGGCAAAGTTTTTTTTTAAAACTAACAAAAGCATTCGTCTGTAACTAACTATCAACATCTCTAAACTTTGTATTTCATATTGGTAGGATAATAATAGCAGCTATTGCGTCATTTGCATTTGACTTGTGGGAGATTGCGGCAAGTTCATAATCTCTAAATTTTAATTGAGGGACATTTACTTAAAATTTTACGAACTGCTTCCAAATTTGGCAGAGACCATATAATAGTTTGGGTAGCTCTAAGTTACAACAATTGTTATATTGTTCAATTGAAGTAGGTAGATATTAGGTATAGGTACACTCTTTAGTTAACAATTTGAAAATATTTTCTTACAAAAGTTACTTATAAAAAAAACAAAAAAAAAAAAACTATAAACTGGCCATCGTGAACTGTTACTCTGCAATTTTTATTATAGTTGCATATAAAACTGCTCACTAATATTCTGATTATATGAGTAATATTATTTTATACTTACATACAATTGTGTTCTTGTCTTGTCATATCTTTATCACTACTCAAATGAGAGTACATTGTCAGTAAACAGGTTAGTATTATTTGCAATTATATGGTGTCTTCTATAATAATACATAAAGAAAATACTTGCTGGCGAATATTCATCAATCATTTGATTCTGTAAATAAAGCTTTATGGTAATGAAACAAGCTGTTATAAAATGTACTATCACAATAGTTTATTTACAGTAAAGATTCTTTATGACTATCTGACTTGAAGTTATGCACAAATGTTTGTATTTTATACATGCTCTAATGAAATTGGGGCTACCATTTTTAATCACTAAATAGTGTGGAATAAGCAAGGGTTCAGGAGGCTAGGTCCACTAAGTTTTGTCTCATCCTCCAGTTGTCAAAAGTAGGTCGTCAATAGGTGTGAAGAGACTGGAGGTTCACATTGGTAGCATCTAGAAAGTAAAAAAACAATATTTAGCCTCCTTTGAGGAAGGTCACCATCAAGTGTTTCCTATAATCTCTATCTTGTACAAATGTCTTCAAAATCAGATCAGTAGCTCAAGTCCGAAAGTGATACTCAATTTCATGGTCAATTATAGATTATTTGTTTTAAAAAATTTACTTTAGCTTACAAACATATTTTCACATACACATCACACCTAGACCCGTAACAACAATTTGTGGATAACACAAAGAGCTGTTTCGGGCGGGAATCGAACCCGCGACACATTGCACGGCAAAAGGTTGTCCAGCCGCGTCACCCGTGCCATCAGCCAGTCAGTTTCAGTGGAGATTCTTCTTTTCATACAGTAAAACTAATGAAAATTCAAACATGCTAAAACATTTTTTATGCTTATCAACTTACTTGCTGGGGTTTCAGGTATGAGCAGCAATTAGAGAATTTGAGAGCGCAATCTTTCAATATGGAGCAAGCTAACTACGCTACACAGACCCTGAAAGACACACAAGCTACTGTAGCAGCCATGAAGGATGGAGTCACACAGATGAAGAAGGAGTTCAAGAAAATTAACATTGATAGCATTGAGGTATGTTTTTGTTTACAGCAAATTATTTACTTTGTTACAGGATGCTAAAGTTCAATTTTGCCTGTGTAGTATTATTGAAAGTTATACAGTTATCAAATAACCTACGTAATGTTTTATCAAAATACATTTTTGTTTTTGTTTTGCATCACTTCAAATATTTGTTCGAAAACTTAGTTCTAATAAAAAAGTAATTTTGAACTTTGTACACTATGAGTGCCATGATTCTGTACTGTAATGGATTCTAATCAAATGGATTAAAATTTTGCAGGATGTTAATGACGAGTTGGCAGACATGTTGGAGCAGGCAGACGAGGTCCAAGAAGCGTTGGGCCGCCAGTACGGCATGCCAGAGATCGATGATGATGAACTCGCTGCTGAATTGGATGCCCTTGGTACGTATTGTATTGAAAAGACCTTGAAAATTATTACTAACAAGTTAACAGCGGCGTGGGTCACCGGCGATTGGCTCTAATGTTTGATTTTTTATTAACTATTTTAGTCTATTCGGTCTATTTGTATAGTTATCGCGTGGTAAATGCTTCGGAGCGATACCACTGCGTCAATACTTAAATTGTGTTTCTCCATGTGAGTAAGGTTAGCGGAGGCCCAATCCTACGCCCCGCCCATCCTTAATCAAATCCCCTATCCTTGAATCCCTAATAACCCACAATAACTCCTTTGGTATTACGAGTGTCTATGGGCAACGCTGATTGCTTCGAACTTGCATTCTGTAGTAGAATTGTAAGTATCTTATTCATACTAATTATGACAAAACCTCATTACTAACTTTCTTTTATCCCTATTACAGGTGATGAGATAGCACTAGACGATGATACGTCGTACTTGGACGACGTGGTGAAGGCACCTGCAGCCCCCGACAAGGAGCCAGGGGCCGACAGTGTCCGCAACAAAGACGGGGTCCCAGTAGACGAATTCGGTCTACCACAAGTACCCAGTGCCGCGCAAACTTCCCGCTGATCTGTGGGTACAGGTAAAGGCTTTAAAAACCTCCCAATTTGCTTTTAAGTCAACCACCTTGTTAATATAGCGTTTTTTTTTTTGTTTTTTTTTTTATTGAATATTTGTGGCGCGTTTGTATAAAGGTATTTTCAAAGCTGTGACGAAAAATGGATATGTGTTTTAAACACAGTCCAAGTCGTTTTTGCGTGAAATAATAACAAACATAAATCCATGGATGTAGTAGGATTTATTTTTACAGTTTATAACAAAAAATATGTTTTGTCAAATAATGTTTGTAATGCAATCGGCCATCCTGAAATTTCCTTTACAGTATCTACCATAATAGTTGAGATATTGTTAAAGTATGTGGTGTCTTCATAAACATACAAAATTTTCTGAATTCCATTACGCTGTAATTTGAATTACATGAACAAAGTAAAGCGCGCCCTTTTATTTTACCTCAATATAATAATAATAATATGCCACTACTGTCTTGCACCTAACATAATAATTAAATACGTTACTTGTATGTTGTATTATACAAAGATTTTAAAACATTGGGAATACGGTAGTTTCCAACCAGTCAAATTCAATACTTTTATCCAAACGTCAAAAACGATACTTTTCTATGAAATTTGTATGAAAAACTGAGTTATGACGCCATAACATTTTTGCGTCAAGTAACTTACTTATTTCTTAATAATTAGCTAAAAAACGTCTAAAACTTAGTGTATCGATCGATTGATGAATAAAAGTATTATTTTTCAATATATTATTGCACGACATTTTACGTGGAATTAATTTATATTTGACGTAGGAAACTACCCAATTCACTTTGTAAACACGCTGTGTGTATATCACTGATTCTGAAATTGTAATTAGTTTTACATCCTAATATTAGGATTTTACTACAAATCGAATTATATGTATGTATAGAGATTAGTTTTAATTCTTTATGCGAAAAGAAAATTTTACGTAAGCTTGCAGATTAGAGAAAACATGCATTTTTGCAACCATTGTGTTTGATCCCTTTTCACAATTTGTTGTCAAATAAATGTGTTTTGTTTTTTTTTTATTTCAAATGTTCTTGTCATACAAGGTGAAGTAAACTTTTACATTGTAACATTGTTTTGTGATTCAAATTCTATTCTTAGTTCGTGTAACAATATGTAAATGTAATCTAGTGCTTATAATTTTTATATACTTAAGTTAAATATATTATTATCTTTATAAGTATTATTTTTATTGCTCCTTGTGATTTAAAGTTTTCTATTCATCGTAACCGAGTTTCCGGAAGTTACACTAACACCCGGTTTCTGAAAGGCTTCTCAACGCTAAAATTAGCTAATCTCTAGTTAAATCTCTTGTCAAGTCATCTGATTGGTTGTTGATAATTCAGTCAACCAATCAGATGACTTGACGGAAACCGGGTGTAAGTTATACTCATTACCAACACAATTATTATTGTCTGTTGTCTCTGCAGATTGTGTGTGTGTTGTGTGATTTGAGGATTGAGATTTTGGAGGATCGGCCTTCCATAACTTCACTTACACAGTGAAAGACAATGATGTACCTTAACAAACACAACAAAAAGAATTGTCAAAATTGGTCCAGGCGTTGTTGAGTTATGCGCTTAACAACACATTGTGGTTAGCCGTAAAGCTGTTAAAGGATAAAGAAAACAACACATTATAATTAGGTAAACAACCTTTAATATTTAATATAATAATTTAATTGAATTATATTATATTACACAGTCAACGCTAAAATACTGTAATGTTCATCACTTAATAACAATTATTTGCATACTGTTCGCAGTATGTGTTAACGGTGCCTACTTATTTGCGACACAATAAATAAATACACGTACTTCAAACAACCTAAGTATGTACAACCACTTCTATTCGAGTGATATTTTATGTGACAGTCTAATTTATCATCTATGTATAAATAACCACTGGTAGCTTAATCTAAGGCTTCCTGTCCCGTCTTTGGCAAGAAGAAGCAGAGTATTGCAGCAACTGTGGATGAAAGAAATGTTGTATTAGTTGACATTGTATTGAAAAATCGACTATGGAGTAGGGTGGGAAACGAGCAACCCCCTTATCTGATGGTGTATAAGTAATCAATGCCACGCATGGACATCAACTATACTAAAGAAGTTGAAAGTCCGTTGCTGGTCGTTTGGATTTTGGAGGCGTAGAATTAGGTCTTCGATAAAGATAATGTTGTTCTTTCAAGAAGACGGAGAGTTTGCGTTAATTAAATTCAAATTTAACTACTAACTTTGCATAGTGTTTCTCGTGGGTCCACCATGGTGTGGGATAATCCCGAATTACATATTATCAAAAAAAAATTAAAATATACTTTGATGCATACAGGAAACGAACCCTGGTTTACACTTTAATCGAGTTAAGAGAGAGAGAAAGTTTCGTTTTTTTTATTTTTAAATACACCATTAAGTTAGAATTCCTTTTTATAATGAATATAATACTTACTGAATAAGAATGCCGAAAACACAACGATAGGAACGACGCAGTTAATGTCGATGAGGTAGCCAAAGGACAGGTTGCCGATTAGACCGCCACCTCGACCGGCAGTTAGGGACAGCGCGGCTGCCATTACCCTGTGGACATAGGTTAAAAAGCGTTACATAAAATTATCGCACTCTGTAGACCCCTATGGGATTATGGGAGGGATTATGGGAACCTCTATCCGTGTTTAGATCTCATTGTTGAAACAGTTTGACCACAACTACTAACTCTTTGGTCTTTGATCATGTAGTTATAGCTAAGTTTACTCGGAATCTATGGTATTTATTATGGAAAATGGAAGAGCTCCGCTGTTCCATTTTACGGCATCATCACTAGCTTGCCAGTCGATACTGCTGAACAAAGGACCCTTCTTGCACGAGAAGGTTTTATTTTCTATTTGTGAAATGGCAGTAAGTTAGCTAAAACTAGCATAATATTAAGTTGGTACATTATTCCTTGATGTTTACCTGAGGTTTGTAGGGAATAAGTCGACCAGCACGCAGAATACTAAACTGATGGCGAGTGAGGTGAGAGCTTCAAAGATGCAAGACAGCACCAAGTTTTGTGTGGAGTTCTGGACGAAGTAGAGACCGATGGTCACAACACCGGCAAATCCTAAACTGAAGACTGAAACACAAGGAGATCATTGTAACATTTACATTTTATAGAATGTTATGATGAAATATGACAAAATGCCGTTTAAAAAAAATGCGATGACGTAAGAGAAGTAAAAGACAACGTTGGTAGCTATCAGTTACCAACCAGATATACCAAACTATTGTAGTTTAATTTTAAAATAAATTCATAAGGATCCGAAGTACCTATAACTTGCGTTCAAAATAAGTACTTTATTAAGACAAGTACTTTATTAGTATAAGTAATTAAGTAAATTTCTTAAATTTGCTACCCACGTGGCACAGTGTTGTTATAAAAATATTAAACAATACTTACTCAAGAAGAATTTGGCACCAAGTTTGTGGACACAGAGAGGAAGCCACAATGAAGTGGGGATGCAAGCGAGACCGACGATCAGGGTGTGCATGTATACGCTGGAGTCGATGGTCTTCAAACAGTCGAAGGGATCCCCTTCCTCCTCATCCACGACTACAATACCGGAGACATCACACACAGAAGCAGATTGGTTGGGGAAGCGGTGCTCGAATTCTTCGTAACGGTTGAACAGCTCGGGGAACCAGATCATGAGGGTGTAGTAACTAAAATGTTTTAAAAATTATTTTGTATATTTAGTATTTTTAGAGTTTAGCAATTGCGTGTGAAAAAGGTAGGTACCTATCTAACGTTACACTAATTTCCCGTTAGACAGTTTGAGTGACATGATTCTACCTATTTTTAATAAAGCTTGAAAAAATGTGCAAACTTGTTACCTAGTAGTTAAACCGAATTGAATAATGCAGGTAAGAATAGTGTATTTGAGGTAGGGTGGTCTGCACAGAGCCTTGGTCTGGACCCAGATCTCAGAGAACAATCGCTTGAGGTCCTTAGGTTTACGCATGCTCAAGCTTCGGACGGACTTGACAGAGGTCTGGGAGCCAACAGATACAGTTCGGACTTTCTCCTTGAGGCTTTTAATCTGTAAAATAAAGATTTAGTAGGTATGAGTATTTGTTCAGACGACTTCTGGAAGTCTTAACTATATTATGACCATTTTTAATATAATAGATGGTTAAATCAGTGTGGATATGTTTCTTACCGGGTAGTTTTCGGGGTCATCACCGGTGTTCTGCTTGTAGATACCTTTCAAGACTTTAAGGGCGTCGTCGTAGTCACCACACTCCATCATAAATTTGGGACTTTCGGGGAAGTAGAAGAGCCAGAAACCGAGGAGGAGCGAGGGTACACCACAGGCAGCGACGAACCAGTTCCATGAGTCGTAAGAGAAAGCGCCGCTCTCGATACGGATTCCTGAGATGGGGATGATGCCCCAAGCAATCACTGCGAAACAAAATAATCGATTAGTCAAATCTGGTAATCCACTGAGATTTATAACCACATAGAGAAAATTTCTTTAGATAAGTTTGTTATATCAGGTCATAATATTGACGTTTCAAAATTTCGAGAATGATCTTGTCCGTATAGAAGAAATACGAAAGTGACCTAATGCAAAACGTTTTAAGTATGGCAATCAAGTAGTAGACGCACTTGATGGATGTCTAGACATCTTCTTACTCATTTCAGACTACTACAGGTTACCTAAACTTAAATAAAGTACATTGTCATATGCATAACTCACAAGGCAATAAGATGACTCCAAGAGTCCAGAACATTTCCATCCAGCAGAGGATCTTCTCTCTGTATTTGGTCTGTTGGAATTCTCCCAAGTAGGGGAAGCAGATACCCATAGCGCCGGCAACTCTGCAAATAAAGAAAGCAACTTTGTTTAGAGTTTACTCAACTCTGATATTTATTATATGGATTAGCTGACCTGGCGAATTCCGTATCGCCTCAATTTTAGGTAATTATGTTTTCTGACACCAAAATTAGCAAATTGGCCCAACCGTTCTCGAGTTATGGCGAGACTAACTTACAACAATTCGTTTTTGTACTACTTAGTAAATAAGAAATGTACCTAACTATTATTGTTTTTTAAGGAACGGAGAAGCAAACAACCAGATAGATTTCCTGATGGACCACTGACTGCCACTTATCAATTTGTGTGGTATATGTTTGACCATTTTGGCGTGTTTGAGTAACAAACATTCATCTGATTCAATTAACTATAAAACGGTCATAGTCTTATATTAATTATATTAAGATTAAAGATACAAACGAATTCTGCATTTAGAATGCAGAGAAAAAGTTCCAATTTAACTAGGACTGTGACGAGGACAAGATATGTCATATAAGTCGTGTAACGAGTATCCTGACACCGGCACGTTTCAAATCCAAGGTATTTTTCTCAGTTCATCGTAAACAATGGAGGCCACAATCATGTGGACAGGCACGCTATAATTGATTCCAAGCACATGCTTCATATAATTACCCGCAGTAGTACTTAAGAGCGTAAAATGACCAGTAAAATGGTGTCATCACATCGATTAAATGCTAACTAGCTTGATAACTATCATTGATACAGTTTGCTTTTAATCCAAAATGTTACT